AAGGATAAAGTTTTTGGCGTTAATCAATCCCGTCTGAGGGATGCGCCCCCGCACTCGTCTTCAATTCAGAATCGTAGTGGCGTAATGAGTGCGTATGTGGCCTATACAATGACTTGCGGTGGCCAGCCGATGTACAAGTCAACGTTTTTACCCTCCCAGACGAGTCTGGTACCAATTAACCGACCCCGGAAGAATGGAAGGCTTGGTTGGCCTAGGCGGGCATCGATCCGGGATTCAAACCCCTGATCGTGCGTGTGATATAGTGCGCCACTTGCCACTATACCACCTATGGAATATTTGGTTGATGTTGAATATTAGGTTAATTATTGCGGATTTTTTTCAGCAAATTTTAATTGAAGAAACGATAGAAATATCTAGCAAAGACATGTCCAAATAATTACTCCGGAACATATCCACCATCTAAGTCAAGCACAGCTTCTCATTCCCTAGGCGTTCGGATTCCACAGGCGAAGAAGTTTCGATCCTTGGAGGCGATCACCCCTTGGCGTTGACCACTCATCCACTTCGTCGAAAGTTCTGTTCGTTACCCAACTTTTCAACGGGCGATCATCCATAGGAATTTCTGTTGGTGAATAGGGCGACCGTAGAAGCAGTTTCAATTGCTTAGTCGGCTTTGGCTGACTGTTCCATCGCCGAGAAAATTATTGAGATCACTTTATGATTGTGCCACCTTACAACCTTTCTCGAAGTAATAGGGCAGAATGTGGCGAATATGAAGATGACTTTCCAAACGCAACTCTGTCAAGGAAAGTGAGAAGATTATTACTATTAAATCACGAATTCAATAATGAAATTGAATCAAGAGAAAAGAAGTCGCGAAAAAATCTGCAATAATTATGCATCAACCTAATAAAATAAAACAGAACTGGGATGATTTTGAGAAGGGTAGAGTTATAGAGCAAGAAAAAACTCTAGGATAGTGAGAAGTATAGGGAATAGGTAAAAAATGGATGACTAGGAAAGAAGTGGTTGTTGGAGAAGAAAAGGCTTGAGACATGATCGGCCGTACTGCCGCACGGAGCAGTGTATTCCCTATGCAAGGCCGAACCCACTAACACGTATAGTACAAGTCATTGTTGAAATGGCACCCACTTAGATACGAGTTCCTCTTCAAATCCCCCATTTCTACAGAAACGAAAGTTAGATAACTTGCTTCCTAGAGAAATTTCACTATTCAAATCGTAGCACAAGCGCTAGCTTACCTCTACTGGTCACTGTTCTCAGGAAAGAAGCCAGCTTGGTATCATAATGAAGATGGGCGTTGAAGTCCACTTCTTTTTGATGCTGTAAACATACGTATTTATGGTTCCGATTTTCGGTTACCGATAATGACGATGATATTTGTAAAACCAACCTTTGCTCCCTCGAGGAAGAACGCTTCCCACGGAACTACAACCAACTGTGGAGCTAACTTATGAAGAACAATGGAGGCAGCTTCGGGATCGCCGTGGAAATTGAATTCAGCTGACGATTTCGATGCTACGTTTCCGATCCCTTGAAGGAAGTATGTACAACTTGTGAAGAAGAAGCTAGGTCATATAGACAAAGGAATAGCTTTTCAGGTGCAGTCCTCGTTGAAAGTGGGGATAGGTTTCTCTGATATGAGCTACAGGGGACCCTACGAGAAGAAGGGAAGGAAGTTCTAAGCTAAAATACCCGATCGATAACTTACGAAAACTTACGCATTACGTCGAAAACACCACTCAAATACGCGAAGTACACTACCGAAGTAGCTAGGGGCGAAATTCCACAACAACGAAAGTTCAGCAAACTTTAAAAAAAATCAGGTGGCAAAATTAAGCAAAATCGCTACCGTAGTAGTTTCCTCCCATGATGACAACTCGTTTGAAGTTGAAATTTGGATCTAATTTCAGTGCAAGGGCCACATTAGTAAGTGGCCCTAAGCAGACCAATGTGGCCGTAGGATGTTCTTTGGCAAGTCGAATAAGTGCTATTGCAGCTACATCCTCTGAAGTTGGCTCGAAATCGTCTTCTTGGACCTGGAATTTGCATCAATCGACAAGAGACCTATAGACAACAGCACTTGGACATCACGAACGAGTATTGGAGGATGGGAAGGGGTGTTGAGGTGACTGTGTGAGATTATATAGTGAGATCCCAGTCACAAAAATTAACTTTTCGCCCTAGGTGGTTCTTCTCAAATCGAATCGTTGTGAAGGTCAAACATGTACCTCCCTATGAGGAGCTGTAGGCATGACTAATCCCTGATAACCGTAAAACCGTTCCCCATCAGGATTTCATGAATGAACATAAAAGTTTCACCTCAGGAAATGCATCCGGCTGGTCTCCTATTCCATCTTTGCCAAAGAAGATGCTTTCGGTATTCTGCCGAGGTTCCTTGCCAAGAATCGGCTCTTGCGCTCCTTTGTAGGTTGGGATAGTTGCCTAAATCTTAGAATTGGTTGCGAAACGCTTATGCAAAATGCAAATTCACGATAAGCTTGGGTTATAAAAACCAGTTCGGTTCCAATGTCTAGAGGATACGGGCTGCGGTAGCCAAAAAGTGAAATTCCTGCTCAGTCCTAACCACAATCTTTTTTCGAAATGTTACACATTCATCAATATTTCGTTCTTCGGCGAACGTCCGTTGCGCGTGTCCGTCGAAAGTATGTCACCCCGCCCACTTCGAGCGCGGCGCACTCCACTGAGGTCTCGGGAAGACACTACAGTACTAACAAGTGTGAGTGGAGCGAACGATTTGTGTTTGTCTATGTTATCTTCTCTTTGGCTCACTGTCGTGGACCGAGTGCAATTCGTATGCCCCGCTGACAACTGCGACGTTTGTCAAGTATCGCGGGCTGACCCGCCGCATGCGACGGCTGCGGCGTGACCTAGTTTCGACGGACACGCGCAACGAAGCGCACCCGGACAGGGTTCATTGGACGAAACTGGGGGGTTATTGACGTATTTGAAAGCACTCATATTTCACAAAAGATCTGCTATCATTAACTAACCATAACCCAAGTCAATCTAGGTTCGTCTTCCCCGAACAACAAAAGGTACCTAGATAGAACAGTTGGAAGGAGGGACTACATAGAAGCCAATTAACAAAAAACATTTGCAGCAGGCACTTACTGGGACTCCATTAGCACGCTGACATCTTTTTACGTTCGCTGTTGCCTGCTCCACAGAAACGCATCCATGAACTGTAGTGAACGCAAGTACCTGTTCAGAAATACCAATTTGTATTCAAAGAAAACCTAGCATTGCTAAGTGGTTCAGCCTGATTTCTTCCTACTTCATTCCAAAAGCCTTTGAGTGACCTCAATCAAGTGAGTTCACAGTGATGATGTTACTATTGAAGTCGGTTCCCCGATCCCCACAAAAAAGGTCGTCTGAGAGTATCAAAAAGCGGGAGACAGGCAATAGGATCGGTTTTGTGCAATCGATTCGCCGCGCGCGGCAGTCGCGGACCACTCGCCTCGCTACTACAGTTCTAGCGTCCTTCATACAGCTCAATCAATATGCGATTATTATTTTCGGCATGATTCTAATGTTAGTTCTTTTGTTGCTGTATTTTTACTTGCCGGGGCACTCTGCCACGTTCCTTCGCGCGCGGCGTCCCACTCGCCGCGACGCGACATTTTCGACCCTACTGCACCACACCCTCAAAGAGCAGTTCGGTTAGATACGCCATTTACTCGAGTTCACTTTCCTAAAGGGAAACAAACATAAGCAGGGTTTCGATGGTGAGTTTTTCAATCATGACACCCGCGTTCACATGAATCGCCCACGCTGATCAGAATGTTGCGACATTGACAAGCGATAAGGAAGAGACAAAGAACGAAAAATATGTAAACCGAAGAATCAACTGACCAAACCACGTATAAGGGTCTCGAAGCGAAGCTCACTCCTGATTTAGGAAGTGTAAGCGATAACGTGCTAGCATACTATCCCTGCTGAGGGAGGGAACATCATCACAGGCCCGCAGAACTGGCTATCCCTCCTTCTCTGCGATGGAAAAACACGGCTCCAACCTCCCAATTACATCTTCGCCAGGTCTTACTTTCAGGAAAAAGTCAGAGCAGGCCTTGTACAGTCACCTATTCCAAGGAGTCAGCTATATCATCTACGGTCACCAAGTAGACGACAGTAGATGACTGTAGCTGTCCTTATGTCCGCTGCCTTAATGTTTATATCCATTTATTCGAGGAAAAATTGAATTCCCAATCGTACTGCAACCTATATTGAAACTCAATTAAGCAAAACGAGCCGTTACAAGCAAGTGCTAAATGCTGTACTTTTTTTGTACAGATGAGGATCTAGGAAGTGTGAGCGGTAACGTGCTAGCATACCAACCCTGCTGAAGAAGGGAGCATCATCACAGGCCCGCAGAACTGGCTATCCCTCCTTCCCTGCGATGAAAAAAGACGGCTCCAACCTCCCAATTACATCTTTGCCAGGTCTTACTTTCAGGAAGAGTTAGAGCAGGCCTTGTACAGTCGCCTATTCCAAGGAGTCAGCTATAGTCATCTACGTCACCAAGTAGACGACCGTAGATGACTGTAGCTGTCTTCATGTCCGCTTTCTTAATGTTTATATCCATTTATTTGCGGAAAAATTGAATTCCCAATCGTACTGCAACCTATATTGAAACTCAATTAAGCAAAACGAGCCGTTACAAGCAAGTGCTAAATGCTGTACTTTTTTTGTACAGATGAGCTCGAAAAGACAAATGACATTTGATTACGTCAACAAAATCAGACGCAGCAGTTGTTATTGCCTCCTACTCAGACGCATAATGTAACACCTCAGTGAAGTTTCTAAGGATATTGACGCTCAGGAACTAAAATTACTTGCAAAAGTCTTTGTATACACACCATTTTTTTACTGTCACCTGTTAGTGAAGGAATGCATGGGACATTGCAGAAGTATTCGAATCTCGTGCAAGTTGGAAAGTCCCTTATCAAGCCCAATCAGCTAGAAATGACGGCCGAAATTTTTAAACAAAAAGTATGAGTTGGTATTGAGTCGTGGTCGAAGATGTGATAAATTTGTTTATCATTTTGTTTATAATAATTCTATTAAGTAGCTCGGGTTCACCCCTCTGCACTGAAACACAGTAAAGCAGGGATAGCTGTTATGCGGGCCCGTAATAATGCACTATGAGCAAGATTAGTATGCTAGCACTTTATCGCTCACATCTTTGGAAAGAAGTAAATCAGTGTCCAACTTGATTTTCAGCTGTTCCACTATCCAGCTTTTCGTCCGAGGTAGTCATTTCTACACCCAGATCTCCTGTCTTTCTGAAGCTCACATGAAAGACTGCATTCATCTGACTAAAAAATATTTTCGAACACCATTACAGTCCCGAAGGACGGTACCCCTCGTTATTCGCGCTCTGGTGCTAGAGAAGAGGGGTCCCCACCCTCTATCAACTCCAACCGAAAAACGATTCAATGAAAAAAGTGGAATGAAATTAGGAAGTCAGTATCAGAATAAAAATAAATAGAAAAGATGATAAAGGGAAAAGAAATAGAACTTTTGGAGCAATACTTACGAGGGTCATATACTTTATCAATTCACTTTTTCTACGCGAGTGCAATTAATCATTTCTGAGCAAAGGAAGAAAGAAATGTATGAAAACACGTGGAAATCAAACTACCAAACTACTAGGAGAATGACTATCGATTCGTTTACATATGTGTCCTGCCTCCTTTGGTTTGGAGCCATACTTTGGAAAGCAAAATGGGAAAAAAGTGAACAAAAGACGAGTAAATAGTTAAGAATTCAGTCACCTCCACATCTGGATGTTGTAATGCAAGGGAAATGGCACGAATATCGTCTGATACACCATCGGTGTCTGAAGCATGCGTCTTGCAGAGGAGTAGGAGTTCGAACAAGAGTATTATAGAAACAGTGTGTGAACAAAATCAGAAAATCAATCAAATAGGTGGGAAATAGTACATAGACTGACCAATGATTAGTTGAACCCTCTCACGCATTTGTGAATGTTATGGGCAAGGCAAGTTCTGGACGTGGGACCCTAGAAAACGTGGAATTAGTTCGACGGCTGATAAGATAGGAAGGCAGATTAAGGCAATCAGGAACACTGAGTTGATCAAGAAGTTGGGCCCATATATTTATGATCTAGCGGGGTCTTTCATGAAGATGCGTCTGTGGGTATCAGATCATTCCAACACAGGACGAATAGCCATCTCCTATCATCGTGATCGTGTGACATTCACAGGGTGCGAAGGGATGTTCTGTGTTTTCAATAGCGTTTATCGGATGTGCAAATTGTATGTGAAAAAATCGCATATATCGCTCATTAGATCTCGAGGGTTAGGGAGGACGCTGACCAGATAGATACCCACAATAGGACCATGAATAAGCCCCTGCTCCCCGTGATGCACATCTTTTTCCTTAGTTGCTAATTAATTTTGGAAAAAAGACTTATTCGCCGCCGTGATGCGTGCGTGAATAGGAACCTCAAAAAAGGCGATCACCCTGTTTGTAGGTCCAAACGTAAAAGGGAATTTGTTCTCATACCAATTTTAAGTGACTTATATTAGGTTAGTTGGATGGATTTTGAGTGGTACACAGCACCTGGGAGAATTGGTCTATTGAAATCTCAGCTCAGAAACGAAACGGTTTAAAAAACGCCTGGCAGGTTATGTTTGGAAACCACTTTCCACCCAGTGGATAGTGGACTCAATTCAAAGAGAAATCTGTAATATGAATAGCGCACTATGTACAAAGAAGTAAAAATCAATAGCCGAGAAGTTCAAAGTGTAGCAAAGTACAAGTTGCAGCGGACAGGTAATGCAAGCAATCCATTGGTTGGGGATGCTTTTTGTATTACAACGCTCAAGTGACCTTTGAATTTGTTACGCAATGTGAGGTGTTCTAGATTGCCATGGGTTTTTGAGTTGGATTTTTTTAATTTCGAGGTTTTTCAGTTCAACCCTGAGAATGACAGAAGCTCTAGTTTCTCTACTCAGCTCAGCCTCAATGAAAAGCTCTCTGCGAACAGCCATGCTAAAAGGGAGCAGTTTTACTCATTCATAGAAAGAGGACCCTAGAAGTGAGGAGCTTAGGTGCGGTTTTCTGTTCGAGAAATCTTTGTATGGGATGTTCTCGTGCCTCCAAGAGAACGTAAAACTGAAAGGTGAGACAGAGCGTTGAACGCACTAATGAAAATTTAAAAAAAAAAGCATTCTACTCTCATGTTCACCTTGATTAGACAGAGAAGGGATCGAGCTCATGCTCTGGGGCAAGTTCCGCGGAGAGAGAGGAGAGAATGACTCACGCTGAACAGCGATTTCCTTGACGTCATTCTTCGCCGGGATATCGGAACACAAGGATTAGCTGCAGGGTGCACCCGAGTAGAATGCTACACTCCCAGCGGGTGCTCAAAAAAACGTCTGAGGCGTGCAAATATCAACGTCTAGCAAAGTGGTAGTTCCCCATCGAGAACGGAGATTCAGCCATATTAGCTCACCAACCCACTCCTTCAAGTGGTACTCGATGTACCTTTCAGTCGTAATCCGTCAGATCTACTAATTGTTCCGCTCACTGAAATGCTCTCTGAACAGGATGTAGTCCGATAGGAAAGAGGACCTTAAAGGTTCACGATAACTTTTGGGCACCCGGTTTTCGACGATAACGAAAAATACAGTCCAGAATAGTACAAAAATATCGAAAATAGCGCAAATTAGGTACAAAAAGAAAGACAGTGGTCCAAAAAAAGGAGCAAAAGGGGGTTGGACGAGTTCCAAACAGAAAAAACGACGTGAAAGCAGTGGTTGGGTGAGTTGACCTCTACTTCGTCTCTGACACCAGACGGCAGATTGGATAGAGCCCGCGCTAGAGCGCAGAGATGGTTCGATAGCCGGCAAGATAATCATCTCACGCTTACCCCGGATCTCCTCCCTAGCGTCTGGTGCCAGAGACGCGGAGCACAGAAGGGCGCTGGCACCTCCAACTACATGTTCCTCTTCAAATACGTAAAATCCACTCTACAATAGCAGCGAATAAAACTTATCGGGGTAGAAAACTAGATAAGGGCCGCAGCCGCAAAAAGAATAACAGAGAATAATAGAATAGGGAAAAAACATTCATCACTCGGCGATGAGCTGATTGCGGGTTGAACGTGTGGGTCCTGGGGCGAATACTGCAATCCTCGAAGCTCGTCTGATACCTGGGACGAAGCATCGATCGAAGAGGGGGG